AATCATACCATGGGCCATTCAACAATCTGAAAAATTTAAAAGAATTGAAACTATAAAAAATGTATTCTCTGACCACAGTGAAATCAAACTAGAAGCCAAAAACAGGAAGATAACAGGAAAAGATCCAAAAACTTGGAAATTAGCCACATTCTTCTCAATAATCGAAGAGGAAGTATCAAGAAACATTTTTTTTAAATGAATTGAACTGAATAAAAATGAAAATACACATCAAAATCTGTGGGCCAGAGCTATAACACTGCTGACAGGGAAGTTTATAGCACTCCAAATGCATACATTAGAAAACAGTAAAAGTCTCAACTCAATAATCTGAGCTTCCACTCTGAGAATCTAGAAAACAAAAAGAGCCAAAAAAAAAAAATCAATGACAATAGATAAAAATCAGTGAACCAAAGAGCTGGTCCCTTGAAAAGACCAATAAAGTTTACAAACCTCGAGGAATACCAATAAAGGGGGGAAAGGGGCATACGCATGTGGCAGGGGAGGTACCATGATCATGAAGGTGGTTTTCCCAGGGCGAGGCTTATCCATTGCACTCCGGATGTGCTGACTCTTGCAATTTCCCCAAATGTGGGAAACTCAACAGCATAATTTGTTGTAGTGGGGAACTGTGTTCTCACTCTCCCCTAAAAAAAGAGAGAGAAAAAAAGGGCAGAGATGAAAATTACCAATATTAGGAATGAAACAGGGGATATCGCTACAGGCTCTGCAGATATCAGAAGGGCAATTAATAAAGGAATGTAGTATAAGCAGCTCAACAGATATAAATTTCACCCCTTAGACAAAATGGGTTATTTCCTTGAAAAACACAGACTACCACAACTCACTCAATATGAAATAGATATTTGAATAGCCCCATAATGACTAAGGAAATTTACTGAGTGTGTTATTTCCCTTAGCAAAATATCTTCGAGGTCCATCCATGTTGTTGCAAATGGCAGGATTCCTTATTTTTTTATGGCTGTATAATATTCCATTGTGTGTGCATACCGATTTTGTTTCAATGGACACTTGGTTGTCTCCAACTTTTAGCTATTATAAAATTGATGTAAAAAATATTTGTTCAAGACCCTACTTTACATTTTTTGGGTGTATACCATTAAGTGGAATTATTGGATTATATTATAATTTTGTTTAATTTTTTAAGGTCCTGTCATATTGTTTTTCACTGTGACTGCAAAATTTTATATCCCCATTAGGAATGCACAAGGGTTCCAATTTGGCCAATACTTAGTATTTTCTGGGTTTTTTGTTTTGTTTTTTAGATAGTAGCCATCCTAATAAGTGTGAAGTGGTATCTCATAGTTTTGATTTGCATTTCCCTAATGATTAGTGATGTTAAGCATCTTTTTGTGTGATTATTGTTGTTTGAGTATTTAATTTACAATATATTTGCACATGTGTTTTTTTTTATTGTTGATTTCTAGCTTCAATTCACTATGATTTAAAAAGATACTTTTAAAATTTAGTAAGACTTGTTTTGTGGCCTAACATATGGTCTATCCTGGAGAAAGTTCCATATATGTTTGAGAAGAGTGTGCATGTTGTAGGGTGGAGTATTGTATGTGTGTCTGTTAGGCCTAATTGGTTTATGGCGTTGCTCATGTCTGCCCTGTATTTCCTTATTGATCTTCTGTTTCGTTGTTCTATCCATTTTTGGAAGTGGAGTGGTAAAGCCTCTGACTCAGTTTACTAGGCCTGCTGTAACATGTACCACAGACCGAGGAGGGCTCAAACAACAAGTCTATTTTCTCAGTTTTGGAGGCAGGAAGTCCAAAATCAAGGTGTCAGCAAGAGCCGTGCTCTCTCTCTCTCTTAGAGCTCTAGGGAAATAAATCTTCCTTGCCTCTTCCTAGTTCCTGGCATTTGCCAGCAATTCTTGGTGTTCATTGGCTTGCAGATACATTACTCCAGTTTCTGTCTCCGTCATTATATGGCATTCTCCCTAAGTGTCTGAGAGTCTGTTTTCTCTTCTTATAAGGGCACAAGTCATTGTGTTAGGGCCCACCCTAACCCAGCATGACCTCAGCTTAACTAATTATATCTGCAAAGGCCCTACTTCCAAATAAGGTCAGTTAATATCAGGGGTATGTTAAATTTTAACATATCTTTTTGAAAGTCACAATCAAACCCATAACAGGTGGAATCTTACAATTGCTGGTGACTTTTTTTTTTTTTTTTTTACATTTAAACATCTCTGAAATCAAGATACAGTTTTCACTCAATGGTACCTTGGGTTCCATGAGCCTCAGTAACAAAATTCATAATATGATAATTGCTATGAAGAAAATATAGGTTGAGAGTGGCTGGGCAAGTGTGTGGGAGTGTGATTGTAGATTGCGTGGTCAGGGAAGGTTTCCTTATGCCGCTGACATGTAAGTAGAAAATAATTACTTAGAAAGAGCCAGCCATGCAAAATCTGGAGTAAGTGTGTTTCAACCAGAGGGAACAGAAAGTGTAAAGGCCTTGAATTGGAAACACGTTTACTATGCTTAAGCAATGGCGAAAACCAAATGTAGCTGGAGCATTGTAAGGAAGAAAGGTAATATGAGGTAGGTATGGGGACCTAATAAACACCTATTAACATTCAGAGTTAAGATGCTGAGACTTCTGAAAGTAGAGTGTTCTTAGGAATAGAGCTACTCCCAAGAACATTTTCAGACGCCCCCATTTTAAAAGGTGATTACTGTAAGTAAATCCTTTCTAATTTCTTTAACACTGTCAATCCTTTATTCTCATCCATTTGGTCTCAGTTTGTGAACATGCTCTTGTTGGGTTCAATATTTTGGAAATTCATCTAACTCTTATATGAATTACGTTGTCTTTATATTTTCTGAAAAATAACTTTCCAGCCTTATGAATATAAAATATCACACTTTCATTACTTCACTTAAAAAGCAATCTCTTATTTTTCTTGAAGATTCAAGCAAAGTATCCAGTTCCTGAGCAAAATCCCAGCCTGGAAGCAAACGCTTATTCTCCTGATTTACCGAAAAGGTGAGTATAATTTTACACATCTACATGCTGTCTAATTGTGTCTCGGGGGCATATCTCCTGCTTATCACTCATTGTGATGCTGGGAAAAGCTATGGAAGCAGTCTTCCGGGGTTATGATATCATTATTACTTCCTCTTGGTTTTGGCAGCATGAAAGAAGCAAAAGTGATGAACCGACAGAGCAAACAAAGGATTCCGGTGAAAAATGCAGAAGCTCCTTCCTTTGAGCCAAGGACTTCTGAAATAAGTGAAAAGGGAGGGTTGGCTTTGCAGCCTGCTAAACAGAATAGTTCCTGTGAATTTTTGGAACTAAATTATGGTTGTAACAAAAATGCTGGCACAGCCATGAAATGGGAGACAAAGACATTTCCAATAGTTGGGGAGCCTCTTCAGAAATATCAAAGTTTGGACTTGAGCTCTGTTCTGCTTGGAGCAGGTTCTGATTCTAAACCTGTGAATGCAGCAGGAAGATATTTCAACGCAAAGGGGCCAATAACGCGGACCAAGTCAACTCCCTTTGAACTGATACAACAGAGAGACACCAATGAGCTGGGCACGAAGGAAAAGTGTTCTTGTTTGGCATCTCAACCGAATAGTTGTCGTTTTGAGCAGGCTCAAAAAGCGATGCATGTTTCTTCAGCAGAACTGAATTATTCGCTGTCACGTGACTCAAAGCACCAAGTGTGCAATGCCTCCAGTGCAAAGCAGCATGACGCTAGGGCTTTTAATGCACATTCTCACATGTCTTTAGTGGATAGTCCTCATTTTCCATCGTCTCCAAGAAGTGCTGGCTCTAAGATGTCTCTTGATTTACCCGAGGAACAAGCTAGAACTGTGTTACCTTGTTCTTCGTTGCCAACATCCTCTGCAACCCTATTTTCTTATTATGATCCAGATGATTCTTTAGCACTGAATCCTCCAACCAATTTCCCCTCCACACTGAACCAAGAGATAGCAGATGTCGGTAAGTTATTTTTAAAAGCTTACATGGCATTTTATTTTTTTTTAAATCTTTATTGTTGGAAGTACTATATATGTCTCCCTTTATCCCCCATTGACCCCTTCAAGCCCACCCCTGCCCCTGCCCCTGCCCTAGGCCTTCACCACTCAACTGTCTGCGTCCATGGATCATACAAATATGCATACAAGTTGTTTGGTTGATCTCTTCCCATCCACACACCCAACCCCACCTTCCCTCTGAGATTCACAGTCTGTTTACATGGCATTTTAGATTTCACTTTGTTTCTACAGAAGATTTGGTTTCTTCTCATCCTCCCCCTTGTCCTTCTCTGCTTCCTTCTCCTTCTAAGAAATAAATTCCAGGAGTGTTTTAATGCTGTGATAAATTGAAAATAACAAAAACAAACATGTAACATTCCATGATCCATATGATCTATGATCCATCATCCATGCCAGGGGTGGGGAACCTTTTTTCTGCAAGGGCCATTTGGATATTTATAATATCATTTGCCGGTCATACAAAATTATCAACTTAAAAATCAGCCTGCTATATTTGGTGGAACATTTAATTAACTCACCCCTAGTGCCCTGGAAGGCCAGACCAAATTATTTCTCCAGCCTTATATGGGCCAGACATTCCCCACCCCTGATATGAAGCCAACAGGAGTGCTTTTAAAGGAGGCAATTCTCATTCCTGGAAATGTATATGAAAGGTCCACAATTTTCCCTTAACACACAGAAGCAACTACCAAATGAGTTTAAGAAAAGATTTGATCTATGGCACTACATGGTCACTCAGAGTTTTTACTGCCCAACCATGTGGCTATACTTGCTGAGGCAGTTGCAAAAAGAGAACCTGATTTCCTCCTGCCCTCTGATAATAACTTAGTAGGTGAGAATATGTGTTCCATATTCTGTGTAGGATTTTTTAAAAATACATATTTTTATTGATTTCAGAGAGGAAGGGAGAGGGAGAGAGAGAGATAGAAACATCAATGATGAGAGAGAATCATTGATTGGTTGCTTCCTGCATGTCCCACACTGGGGCTCGAGCCAGGGACCCAGGCCTGTGCCCTGACTAGGAACCTTTTGATTCATAGGTCGATGATGAACCACTGAGACACGCCAGCTGGGCTCTGGGTGGGATTTTAATCATAAATACACCTTTACTTTTATACTTTATTTTATAATTCTATACTAGTGTTTTTGCATATTATGCATATTGTTTTACTGAGTGGTTTGATATTAGATGTAAATATCCTGTTAGAGATGATTATAAGTTGGCTGTGAGAGAAAAAAAGCAAAGAGTAAATTTAACTCTCTTAGGTGTATCATCAGAAATTTATTAAAAATGTTTTACCTGAATAGGAAGTAGAAAGAGCTTTTACTCTATAACATTATTGTATAGTAGTGTCTTAATAAGTGTGTCGACACATAGGTTTGTTACAAAAAATACTTTATCTGGATCTAGTTCCTTCTTTGATTAGATTATTTTATATATTTTGATCTTGTTTTATAATTTAAAGGAATTTTACTTTTCTAGGTACCTATAATATGTTAAATTCTCTGAACATCAATGTTAAAAGACAAATCCTTATCTTCAAGGGTTTAAGAACATTTACATGTGTGCCATCTGGTGGTAGTTTCTTATAATAGCATTACATTTTTCTATAAAAATTCTGAATATTTCTACAGAAATATAGAATACAGCATTGTTTTTTAAAAGACAAAAAGACATACATATTCTTCATCCTTGTAGAATGAATAAGAGATACTACAATCTTTGTGATTTCACCAAGTCTGTAACTGAATCTCTGGCATGTCAAAATGCTTTTATGATGCTGTATTGTATATTCTCTGTAAAACAAAAGGAAGAGTTATGTAATTTAAGTTAATATAATATTTTGTTATGTTAGCTGATACTCAGTGACTCAATCAAAATACTTTTGGGCTTTTAACAGAAATCATACATTTTGAAGAAGCATAAAGCTCCTGGGTTTGCAACTTAAGATGAGAGAATGTATTTTGCTTTTTTCCTTGAATGAACAGATACCAACTTAAACATTGTAATGGCACTTGATGGGATTTCCATCAAGTTAAAATGTAAGAATTTTCTTTGGATTTTCCTAATTAAAAATTATAATTCTACTTCTGACATTTTGGATAGCAACTTCTCCAAAAATAGACGATGAAACCCCCCCTCCACTTCCTGAGCGGACACCTGAATCTTTCATTGTGGTAGAGGAAGCTGGTGAGTATCGTTCAGTAAGTAACACAAAGCTAGGTTACTAGTACTTCTCAAGTCCTTTCAATGTTGTGCATGCTATTGCTGAGTAACAGTTGCTGTCTAAAAGAATTACAACTCTCCTAAGAATTGGACCATATTTACTTCCTTCCAGGAGAAGTCCCACTGCATGTTCCCCAATCTTTACCTTCAGCTGGGATGACAAAAATTGGAACATCACTAGAATGGAGTGGAACATCTCAATCCAGCAAACCTGATGACTTGGTGAGACTTAGGCCAATCAAGGTCCATAACTTCTTTTTTTCTGACTCATTTGGATTCGACAGACTATAGTCCTACTGCTTGTATTTTTAACACCTATCAGCCAATAAATATTAAGTAGATACTACTTATAAAACAATGTGCTAGAGGAGGCATAAGATCCAATTATTGCCCTTAAGAAACTCATAGTCTAGCCGTGGAGATATAGGGTATATATACAAGTATTGTTGTCTGTTTATAATAATAAAAGCATAATATGCTAATTAGACCAGACAGCTGAATGACATTCCGGACAACCTTCCGGATGAAGCCGGGGCTGCAAGGGCTGAGCCCCTTGCACGAATTTCATGCATTGGGCCTCTAGTTTATTATAACAAGGCAAATATGACCAGTGCCATGGGATAGAGAAGAGACTTGAAAGTGTGGGAGATCCCTTCAGGTCGGAAGTGGTAAATGAAAACACAGTGAAAGTGGAAACATTTGAGCTGATTCTTGAAGGATACTTAAAGCAAAAGTAAATGTTTCATAAGTAGGTAGCTTGTTTGCAATAGTCATTTGGTTGACTGTATTGTGTTAGCTGTGATAACGTATTATAGAGAGTAAATTTTTGAGTGACACATGTTCATATTATTTGAGTTAAACCTTTTGGAATAATGTTCCCTGCCTCTAGAAGAAAACTCTACACTTTCAACAATCTGTTATGCATTTGTATATATTATATGAACCAACTCTCTTACAATTTAAGAGATCATAAAAGTAACTAAATAAACAGTTAAACATGCCTACAATCACAATGTAGTAGGCAAATACTCCGTACCTTTTTAATTATACTTTTAATTTACTAGTAATTGTTATTATTATTGTTAATAATATTCGACAAGTAATGGTGTTTCAATTAACAATTCCCAGAGAAAAGAAAATTCACTCCTTTTCCAATGTCATGAAGTAATTTCCATTTCAACAATTTACCCTCAATTAAATTTTCAGGAAATGTTCTGAGTAGAAAGGAAATAGGTCAAAACAGAATAAATTTAGGACCAACTGTCGTGACATATAAAAATCACTAAGAGTTGATGTCTTTTCATAACTCAGCGCACTTACACGTTACAAAAAATAGGGTGAACATTTCATAACTATCTTTATCCTTATATGCAATATAACTTCAAAAATGCCATGCATTGCTTTGAGTTTGTAAATTTGTGTACATATTCTTCCTTCACTTTTCCTTTCTCTCTCTCTCTCTTTTTTTAGATTGTAAAACTCCGGAATCCCATATCAGGTAAATAAATTCTCATGGCTTTAGATGAGATGTTAGCCCTAAGCATCTGTACTGTGAGAATGGCTCATTAAGTTTAGAGTAATTCACCTCAGGAGATGGCATGCTTCCCATAATAGCTTCCACTGTTTATTGATCTATTTCTGGGTTTCCCAGGCTAGGAGTTTTGCTTTGTTTCAGAATACTCTGTAAGAACTAGAAACTTAATTCAAGTCAGGTTCCGTTTCTTTGGAAAAACACTTTTGTAAGTGAGCTACAAGTTTGTGACGAATGAGAGCCTCATTGGCTAAAGAGCTGGAAGAACAAAGTTCCTGAGGCTCCAGTCGTAGTTCAGATAATTTTTTATTTGGTTGCTGTAGGTTAATATTGAGAAGTTGGAAACGTTATACAAAATCAAAGAGGGGTCTTGCCTGGAGACTTTAAGTGATGGATGTTCTTGCTTATTGTGCCCTGTTCTCATCACAGATCTGCATGAAGATCGCTCTTCTCCTCCCCCTCCACTCCCAGAAAGGACCCGAGAGTCCTTCTACCTCGCTGACGAGGACTGTAAGTGCAGCACTTTTTCTCCAAAAAGTTGTAGAAGTAAGACTGTTAAAAGGGTAACAATAAAGTGGTACCTAAATGAAAAAGGTACAAGAAATGATTAAGTAAGATAAAAATAAGACATTTTAAAGGCCCATACTGTATTGTAAAAGTAGTGCATAAAAAAGCCAAGCCAAGAATTACTAGATATATACTTATATAAAACCTGAAAGCTTAGGAAGCTATGCAACCAATTACTTTTTTTTTTTTCAGGTATGCAGGCTCAACCTATGGAGACTTATTCTGCTAGCTGTCCTAACACCATGGAAAATTCAACATCTTCAAAACAAACATTGAAGACTCCTGGAAAATGTTTCACAAGGAGTAAGGTAAAAAAGATAGGAGTTTATGGAAATACACCAGAAGCTTTTCATTACTGGAAGTGTTCCCTAACCCGCTACTCCCTTCTCTCCCGCCAGCTGCCAGCATTACGATGGAAAATTAGATTAAATATGGTCACTAACATTGTTGGTCTCATGACAATTAAAATTAATAGAAGGAGCCCTAACTGGTTTGGCTCAGCGGATAGAGCGTCAGCCTGGGAAGGGTCCCAGATTCGATTCCGGTCAAGGGCATGTACCTTGGTTGTGGACACATCCCCAGTAGAGGGTGTGCAGGAGGCAGCTGATTGATGTTTCTCTCTCATCGATGGTTCTAACTATCTCTCTCCCTTCCTCTCTGTAAAATATCAATAAAATATATTTTTAAAAAATAAAATTAATAGATGGAAACAAACAACAAAAAAATACAACTTAGTTTAAAGCCTGCCTAATAAAACCATCAACTTTTTTTTTGCTACTGGAATGAGACAAACTGATTCCAAAGTTCATATGGGGGGGATAAAAAGAGCAAGAATGGCCAGTAAACTCAAAAAATTAAAAATAGAAGTAACAGCAGTGGAAGGAGGGTCGCCTTACCAGACATTAAAACATTGTAAAGCCTCAATTATTAAAATGGTATGATATTGGTGTATGAAAAAACACATACCAACATAGCAGATGGGAAGTCCAGAAATAGATTTAAATATGTATAGGAATTTAGTATATGATTAAAGATGGATGTTTTAATTGTTGTTGGATGAATTGGATAAGCACTTGAAAAAAAATAGGATCCATATCTCACAGCTATACCAGGATATATTCTAGATGGATAAAAGATTTAAGTGTTAAAAAAAGAGAGAGAGAGAAACAAAAACCAACCCAAAAAAAGTACTAAAGAAACTTGGAAAGTTTACTTTACAATCTGGGAGTGGGAATGACCCCAAATCCAGGAGCCATAAGAAGAGAGATTTATAAATTCACTTAAATAAAATAGAAAATTTCTGCATGGCAAAAGTAAAAATAAACTTAAAATCAAAAGACAAGGAACAAATTGGAGAAAAATATCTGCAGCTGGCATCATAGTCAAGGAGTTATTTCTTTTTAAAAAAATGTATTTGTATTGATTTCAGAGAGGAAGGGAGAAGGAGAGAGATGGAAACATCAATGATGAGAGAACCATTGATCGGCTACCTCCTGCACGCTCCCCCCGGGGATTGAGCCTGCAACCCTGGCATGTGCCCTTGACTGGAAACGAACCTGGGACCCTTCAGTCCACAGGCTGATG